TATTATATTAATATTTACATTTTAACTAATTCTAATATTCACTTATTACATAAATTTAATTGATTCTCTATTTTTCATTATCAACTTATTTAGAAATCAAGTTATCATTACTATTAAAAATGATAAAAATCGCAATATTGTTATCCATATGACGTCTTTTATCGATTAAAAAATAATTTTTGAAATTATGTATTTCTCGGGAATTTGGGAAGTTTCAGATATCATGACAGAGAATTAAATAATATTGATTAATAATTACAATATTCATAAAATGTTATATTTTGTTATTTCGTTAACAAGGATTTTTGAATCGTCTATACTAATAATACGAATTTTGTATTTCAATTTGAATTTTATAAAGCTTAATGAATTAACGGGCACAAAAAGATAAAATGTAAATTTAAGAAAATTCATCTATCAAGATACGTAGAATAGTGGTATTCTTTTGAAGTGTTCTTGAATATACGTAAACATCAAAATTTATTGAATTAATATAATCTATATTATCTTAATAATTATTACATTTAAATGTAAGCTTGATACATGAAAATGCTTAGTCAAACTCCAGTTCTTCGTTGCTTTTCATACTTTTAAGTCATTATTAATAGTAATTATCTATTTTTTAAAAATAATTTTCCATAAATAATATTTTTAATTAAGAAGATTGAAAACATGTTATTTAATGAAAGTAATAATGATAAAAAAATACGTAGAAATGGATATAAAGGTAACGAGGAAATTGAATAATTATAACTATTATTGGAGTTCAACTTCGTATTTCTCTATAGAGTGATGTATTCATTTATAATTTTATATTTATAATTTGTCTTTTAATATAAATTATTCAAAGGAACGTACATTAAATGTTCTTGAATATATCAAAGGTATAAAAAGATTGGTATGTATAATTACGAATGTCATTTTATTACTTTTTGTATTATGCAAGAAAATAATTAATATAAAACTAAGCAAACGTAATTACTAATACAAATGAAAATAAATCATTTTGTGGTTATAATATTTATGTAATTCGTGTATAAAATATCTCATTGTTGCAAGGTAGAAAAAATTACTTTTCATTTGTTGACTTAGTCAACGCTTCCTTAGTTCTAGTAATCAATTATTAATATACAAGTTCTTCAGATTTGTCTTGTTTTATATAAAACAAGGTCAGCATTTACCATTATAATTTTGATTAATTTATACAACTTCAGTCTCGTATCTCTAGACGCTTATCCTTTTATTAATCTTTAAAATTTAATAGTAGAAATAATGATTTTAAAGGTACTGATGAAATTATTATAATAATGGCATTAATTAAAAACAACATAATTGTAGTATAAAAATAATTGAAAAATCATGATATTAATTTCAAATAATTACTTTCACTTACTATATTCATATTTATATAATTATGACATACTTACGATACATTAAAAGCTAAAAATTATATTAGCAAACAATCACATTAAGAAATTGCAATTTTCCTGGATAAAGACGGAAAATACTAAATAATAGATACCTATATTATCGGTATGAAAATGAATATCTGAAAGTATAATATCTAGGGCAGTTATAATAGACTAATTATAGAACACAGTTTTCTTTATTATCGATATTATGGATTCTGCCTGGATACTCGAGAATATTTAATATTCAATTTTGTTGTTATATGTATAAAATGAATGAATTGTATAAAAAAAAAAGTATGTAACTATATGTATAAAGAATATTTGGAGCTAATACGTTGCTTAGATGTGTACATTTCAAATTTCTAAAAAACTAAATCTTAAAAAACAATAAAAATACCTGTTCTGTATGACCAACATTTAATTCATAAAGAATTATACGAGTATCTTATTTCACACGTTATAACCAAATATTTTGGTCGATTAGTCATGTAATGCACGTATTTAAGGAAAGCAATACAATGGTCAAAATTATATTTCGAACTTTTATTTTCTTCAAATAAGAAAGAATATAATGTTGTATATTTTGTAATAATATTTATTTTAGTGTAAATTATTGAAAGATTATTGTATTCAATTAATTAATTAATTAAAATTAGTCAAGCGATAATTTAGTAAATAATTTTATAAGTTAATATATTAATAATAACCAATTCTTTATTAAATTAATTAATTAAACATTAAATTGTCTAGATAGATATGCATTTGAAATTTAATAGTAAAATTTTTAAAACTTTAATAGTATTAATCTACTTATGAATCAATCAAATACTACTAAATTTATTAGATACTCAAGTCATTATATAAATACAATATGCAATCATAAAATTTAACAATATTAAATATTACATTTATATATGTAAACAGTTGTAAAATAAGAATTCAGTATATAGTTGAATTGTTTTACTACTAAAAATATAAAAATTAAAAAAAATAAAAAAAAACTAATTTTTGCAAAAACTTATTACCTTTTGTTTTGATAAATGTATTATTTTAAATTATTTATCAACTTCATATCACATCTTATTGGATATTGTAACAAATATTTTACAATTAATATTAATTTATAATTTATTAAATATGATTATTAACTAAAAATTTTGTAATTAAAATAATGCTCTTATTACCCATAATTCAACGAATATAAATTTTATTATATTATCGATAATTTTAATTTTCAATAAAATTTGAAAAGTTACAATGAATTTCTACATATTTTTTTATAGGAACCTTAAAATGAAATAATATATTTACAAACAATAAATTCTCGCAATGTATTTCACAAAATATACACGTCCTCAAATATTAACCAAAGAATTTAATATTTGCTTTTAAAAATTATTTATAGTGCACCATCTATAGTACCATTAGATTCATAAAATCAAAGATGTAATAGTGTATAACTTTCATACGTGTAATGATTATTTAGTAACTACATAATATATTACACTCAATGTCTAATTCTTTACAAATCTGTCTCTTTTTAATCTAATATTTTAAGGTAGAATAATAAATGAATTTTTTCTCTCATCTGCTGTAATCATATATTTGTATAATACATAAATTAAATATAATAGAATGTTATCTAAAAATGACTAATTTCTTATTTTCTCAATTTAATTAATATTTACACTTCACGTACTAAACAAACTAAAATTAGACACAATTTTATTACACAATAGGTTTAAAAATATTTTTGCAATAAAATTTCAATAAGATTAAAAAAAAATTGAAAATACCCTATTTTATAATGATATTGCTATGAACATGAATTGGTATTCTTCTTATGAATGATACACATAATTAAAAATTATATTTTTTAAATGAAACTATGCATTTTCGATTAATTTAACCTGTTACCATTATTTAACGTAATAATTTTCACATAAAGAAGAGATACGTGAGTGTGTGCAATGTTTTTCATTAATTTATTAAACATGAATGATAGTTTGACAATAATCATACTACTGTAAACATTTCTCTTGATTAATGATATTACGTCCATTAGGCAGGATTAAATTACAAATCAAGTTTACAAAGAGCAATATTCGTGTACGTAAAATCTAGTTAGGAAGCATAAATAATTGAAAGTAATTGTTCAGCTTAAAATTGACTATAATTAATATTTATAATTAATATTTTATTTATATATAAATTATCAATACCAAGAACGAAAAAAAAGTATAATAAATTTTATAAAAATTGATCAGTGCAAGTATAATAATCGAAACTTGATGAACAAAAATGGTTAAAAATATAATTTCGGCGATAATATAAATGTAAAGCTATGAAACATTGTATTAGTACATTGTTTTAAAATTCCTATTAAAAGCAAAATGAGATTCATTAAACTGTCATCAAATTGATTAAATAAACTGCCTATAATATGTAAATATCCTGCATTAAATTATACCTTAAATTACATGAGAATACAAGAAAAAAATTTTTTTCTGCTTCTCCACGCATTAGAAGACATCTGCACATCTCAATCATAAGTTATATATCTATGAAAATGTAAAATAACAATATATGCAGATAGACGTAATAAATTTGAATTAATATACTGATATATTAATATAGATTTTCTGAAAAGAACTAATTTCAAGAATGTTATTATAATTCTTGGATATATTTGTATCTATTTGAAATTTAAGAAAAGAGTTTAAAATTTTCACTACAATATTATTATGAAATATAATACGAATAGTTGGAGTAAAATATTTTCTTGTCATTCAATATATTAATTTTTACATTGTTCATTATAGATATGTTTTTATTAAAAAATATTGTTATTTTTTAGTTCCAATTATTCATGAATATATATATATATATATATATATGACTTTAATAACAGAATTTATGTTTAAACATTAAAAACGAATTTCCGTTTATGTTGATTTTTAACATTAAAATTATATATATATGTAATTTATGATAATATTTTAAAAGAATAAAAAATAAATATATATATATATATATATATATATATATATATATATATATTCTTTCTTATATACTATCAAAAATGTCTATAAAATAAAAAATCTAAATCTTTTAGAATATTATCATATGTTTGAAATACTTGTAAATTTCTAAATACTATTAATGTATTATTAAATATACTATACTTCAATCGATTTCTTGCTAATGTCAGTCATAAATATTAACAATACTAATAAAGAATACATGGGGTCATTATACTGAATTAGATAACAATAATGTGTTATGTGAAACATTATTTTTTAATATTTCTCTTTCTATATATATATATCTAATATTTTTTATTATAATAATTTCAAAATACAACTTCAATCGAATATGATCTTTTTATTATTATTAATTAGACGTAAGAATAAGATAAATGTATACTGTATGCACATTAATAATGTACAATAAAAATAATAAATATTAGTTTTCTAAACATTTATTAAAATAATTTGTATAAACGCATAAAAATAATACATTTCATACAGTTTCTGAATAATAATATTTTAGTATTCAGGAATTTGTAATTAAAACAAAGGTATCAGAAATATGTTGTCAAACAGATTATTAACTCGATTATTAATAATTGATATCAAAACTTTCTAGAGGTAATCCTATTTACATTGTCGAGTCATTTGTATAGTACTGTACGACATCTTTTTATTGAGGTAGTTTTTCTTGAATAATATAATATAATATGATAATACATTTTTCCAATTTAAATTATTTTGAATATTCATAATCATTATGGTGTTATCGGAAAAGGAATTGGAAGCAGTACAGAATGATTAACGTTCAAACGTTCTGACTTGTATACAAATCCGCCAATATTCTTGTAAAAAATATTTACATCTATTTAGTTTCGATGCCAGCATAATTTTCTTAAAAATTGCCATGAAACAGTCAGTTTAGCATCACTTTTTGCTTTATCACTTGAATACGGTAGAAACTATGTTCCATAAAAACCAAATTCCAAATGAAGTTCCCAATAACTTGACAGTTTTATGCATCCAATAAAATCTGAAAATGAACGAATTATCATTATCAATGGTAAAAGTAATAATCCAAATAATTAAGTAATTGTATTTGAAGATAATTTATAATGGTGCATTTATCGATAATGAAAGACTTGATTAGATGTGCTATTGCGCTCTTTAGGGCAACGTATAATGTGTTATATATTATTTAGGTAAACGATATATAAGATTTATTACGTATTAATATGATTTCTTTAATTTATAATCATTAAAAGCAATAAAAATGGACATTAAATATTCATAATTAAAATAATCAATCAAGATATCTTAGGAAAAGTATGGAACTCTTGTGACAATTGATCGAGTTTGATAATCTTTAAACTACTAATTTCGAAGAACAATGAGTTATTACGTTTAATTTCTTCATTTGTTCTAAAATAAAATTAATTTTTTACACCAACTTTTTTCATAAATGATTGTTTCGCAAATATATATATATATATATATACTCAACTTAATATTTAAAAATTTTATCATAAAATTAAAAGGATATTTTATGTTATGTTAATGTTATTATATATCTGTATTAGTCACCTCCGCCACTTTATTCTGCTATCTTCTAAGGTTTTCAAATCATCCTTTAATAGGTATACCCTAACACCTTTCATATAATTTCGAAAAAAGGCTTGCCAATCGAAACTCTGCATATCAAAATAGAACATTTGCTTGTCGCGCGAATCCATTCGATGCCACATTTCTCGTACATTGTCATTCGTGAATTTCCACTCACGGGTAACAAAGTAGGACAGAACACCGACGAATTTGTTAACTTTTTGATACGTTTTTAGTAATCTGAAATTTTCGATAAGATCATATTTACCATGGGTATTGTTGAATCTTTAAACATTAAACATTAAACATTATTTTATAGAGTGATAAAATTTACAATACAAAACATGTAAGTTACATCTACATTAATGATTAATTGAAAAATTGTATTTTTTAACTAAAGTAATTATCATATTTCATAACATGTAAAAACATTGAGTCACTAATTAGGAAGATAATAGTAATTCACACTACCGATGAACAAAAAGAAACAAAAAAAAAAAAAACAAAAAAAAAAATATAGGAAATTAAAACCTTTGTCAGACTTATTACATTATATCTGCAATTATCGAATTATATGGTATTCTATACTATGGGATTTAAGGATTTATGGTGACAATTTTATTTACCTAGGTTTACGTCCGGAACAGATTGTTGCGGCATCGATCAAAAAGGCAGGTATTAGGTGAAGAAATATAGCGTAGATAGAATGTATGAGTTTATTCTTATTCATATTGAACGATAAGTACCAAAGTGGATTGCTCAACGGATACTTGTTAACATAATTTATATTCGTAACTCGAAAATCCTCCCACGTAAACGGTGCATCCACACTTGATACGAAATTGTAGATCAGCATATCATCATCTCTCCTAAAATTTTTATACACATTATGTATCTTTAAAAGTTTATGTCAAAATGATTATATTATTTTTAAATTACGCTCTACATTTTACTACATTAGAATCTTATATATTATGGCAAAAAAAAAAAAAAAAAAAAAAAAAAAAAAAAAAAGAATTACATCTTTATATTATTTTATTTTATAAAATTATCAATATCTTGGAAGGATAGAACACTTAATTTTTATAATTATTTAAATGTAAATAGGCAAATACAATTACAATTGACGAGTTTATGCTGTAATGTTTGTTAATAGGGTTTGGCATATATTTCTGATAAGCTTATTTGTATTGTATTATTGAAATTATCGAAATGCTCATGTAAGCTTAATACGTTGTAAATTTATATCAAAAGTAAATTTTGTAATTGTAGGATGAGATTTCTCTTGGCTTAAGCCGATCGATCAGCTGTAAATAATCACTCAGCGTGTACATGTTCCTTAAACTTATCTATATAATAATATCGATATGCATGAACCAAAAAAAGGTTTGAAGTATAAGCAAACAATTCTCCACAAATGAATCACTTACAGAGCTCAATTATTTACTTATCGATCAAATTAAATAATGACACGCGCGAACTCGAAATTTTCGTCATTTCAATAATAAATTGAAAAATTAAAATTCAGGTAATGAACAGGTATCGAGGCGCGAATAGCGATTCCTTAAGCATAATAATAATGAAATGACGTAAATAAATCGATGAAATATGCTTATTAATGAATAACATTTGACTGACTGAATGCCAAGATGTTTGAAAATGTCAAAGCGATACGAGTTGTTAATAATATAGAGAGAATATTAATAATGCCCAGACTCCGGACAGAGGCAACTCTTAATAAACAAACGAATATATATCAATCAATTAAGTGTAAGGCCAACGCCTAATTACCGGAAGTACATACCTCGCAGTTTGCATAGCTACGTCCCAAGCACTAACGATTAAAGCGTTTACCGTGAGGTCAACAGGCACGATGTTTGCGTTAATGTCGGGGTTACAATGTAACGTCCGTAATACTCCAGTCGCCACTCCTGCCGCAATTCCTGTCGGCCCATAAAAGTTATCGATCCAACCTGGGATCGGTTCATTGGCAGTAGAAATTACTGCAATAATCATTTATAACATTAATCTTTATATTAATGTGGAGTTTAAACAAAATGGTGAGCTGCATTAATATGCTCGACCGAGATTCTGAGTATTCGCTAATAGGCCGCAGTATTATTAATTTTTAAGCGATAATAGTAGTGAATGCGCGGAAGTAGCTTACATAAAAGCAACTGCAGGATGGAAAGAGCATAGCGCGAAAAAATCTTTGCACGTCAAACTGAGACTTTTCTTTGTTGTTCAATATTATATCTGTCGCTTTAATTAACCATGCGAACTAAATGGAAAAGTTAAGTTTATAATTCGATTATTATCGATTCCTGTGGCACGCAAAACTTGTCATTACTTGTGTAGAATCAATTGAAATTGTTGATAATATTGTCTAGCGATTTTGATTGTTATCAACTTCTTTCGAGAACAATTGATATTCATCAAAAGGTATATAAATATAAATTAAAATTAAACTCTGTACTATTAATACGTTTAATTCTACGTAACGTAATGTTCACTACTTTTAGTCATGCGAATTCTTGTCTATTGAAATTGACTACAACATTTCGCGTCTACTTATTTATTAATTCTCTATGATATTTTCGATAATATTATCATTTAATTTAGTCACTTGTTTCATAAACATGATTTGTAAACGAATTCTCAATTTATGTACCAAAATATTGAAAAAATAAAAGTACAATCAAAGTAAAATCTTCTTATGATTTAAAAAAAACTTGCTATTAAACGAGCACGATCATTGCCAATGATTATTGATACGTAAATTTAATTCGTCATTAAAAATAATTATAATACTTATTCTGAATTAAATTTCTCAAATCACATAAATTTTTATAGTTTTTAAGAAACTTAATGAAATATCTTAATTAACTAAAGTTATCGTTTAACATATACTTAACGATAATGAACATTGATGTATTGATAATTTGATAGCCTTATCATTGCTTCATTGATTATTTCTAAAATTGATTGAGTACTATTACAAAAATAGAATCAATAATGTTTGAAATAATTGTAAACAATAATTTAACAATTGAATTTGATTAAATTAAATAAGAGATAGAAATGTTCAATTAAATTTAATATTAGATAGAAATAATTTATATATTAAAATATAAATTTTATTATTGGTAATTATAGTTTGAATACGCATTAACTGTTTTAAATAATTATAGAAAGTTATTTATTTTATTAATTATATAATTCTAACATGTGCTATTTATTATGAAATTGTATTATACAGAAAAATATAAACGCATAATGATAAATATTGAATATTAATTTTTTCCAATTCATTCATTCAATCGGCACTTCACTTTATACAATTTCACCTTGGTATATTAATTAAAAATCTTAAAAAATATACTTACCAATTCCCGGCCTGAATACTCCCATTGGTAAATTTTTATTTCTCGTTTTAACAAGATTTTCCGCAAGTGCTTTGGTGAATGTATAAGTGTTTGGCCATGGAGTAATTAACCTATGTATACAAATTTAATATTCTTATACTAAATTAATTTAATTATATATTATATTGTATAAGGATTGTTAGAAATAATGTTTGTGTTTTTACTTACCTAGGACTTATTTCTTTTATAATATCATCAGATAAGCAGTTAACAATATTAAGCATTTCACCATTCTTAATTGGAAAATCATAAAATTTTTCGTTAATTTCCCGCGAAATACAGTTTGCATATGCCGTCGAAACATAAATAAAAGCCTATAGATAAAAACAATAATACATTAAAAATTATTATATTTTTATGTTTTGATTTATAAATAATTCTATCGAGATTAAAAATCGGATTAAAAAATGTCCTTTTACAATATATGGAAGATATTCCGAAAGTCTTGCCAGTCAAAATTAAAATATGACGGCGATGGATAAATCTTGTAAATATATGTATCATTAAACGGTTTAATTTTATACATTTTATTTTTCTATACATTTTTTTTTACATTTCAATACTTAGTTACAACTTAATTTCATATTAGATTCAATGATATTTGGCAAATTAATAACAAACATATTTAATATTTATTGCATAGCTAAAAGTAAAGTAAGAATTTTGAAGCAAAGTAAAGAAAGAATTTTAGATTTATTATTCCTTCTTGCATCTAGACAATGAAATGGTAAAATGAGGAAAATCAATCCCTTAGTTTATTCAATATTAATAGTATAAGATTAATGAGATTCAAGAAAAATTAAAATTATAAATTCCTTGTATTAGATAAGATTATTGTTCGTAATTCTAGGGCTTACATACTTCTGTAATTTACGTGATAAAACTAGCATCAAATATAATTAGAAAACGTTATTATTATCTATTATAGATTTTCACTAAAGATAATTATAATATGTATTATGCACAGATTGAGATTCTACGAAAATACTTTGAAATATATTTATCTCTATCACACTTTTGGAGCATGATATTTTTTTAATTGGTCGACAACTTTCATAAAGGTAATCTAAATAGTTATTTGAAATATTATCATTAAATGTCAAAGGTAGATAAAAATATTTTATCTTGGCTTTGATAGAAATTTTTCATTATTCTAGTTTTATAAAACATCTCTTCTATAATTATCAAAAAGATGAAATAAAAATATTGTTAATTAAATTCTCATCTTAATTAGAATTATTATATACTACTTTAATTAATTTCAGCTAATGTAATTAATTATATGAAAAATCATTAGCTTAAAAACGTTTATCGAATTAATAGAAAATAAAATTTTTAATAATTAATTTTTTCGATATTTTTCTAGTTCATCGACTTCCATTCAATTACATATAACATACGGAGGACAATCGAAGTAAATTGATTAACAATTTTCATTAAAACATTTTATCATTTTTTGCTGCATTCAAACATAAAAAAAAAATTTATTTACCTTCAATTTTTGTAAATCTTTACACAAGTCGATAACATCAGCAGTGCTTTGAGCATTTATTGCCGAAGCGACTTTCAGTTTCTCATCAAAACGTACAGTTGCCGCTACGTGAAAAACTATTGATACCTACAATTACAAATTAATCATATAATTATTGATTGCTCATGATATTATTTAATGTAATATGAGATTTTAGTAGAATGTTTGCAATTTTTCTGGAGCTTATTTACGTCGTATGATAACAAATCTTAAAACATTTTCAAATATTAATATTTAAAATACTTACTTATTACAGTGTGTTTTTAGAAATACGCATTTATACGCATTAATTCGTCAAATTCTATAAAACGATAACATTATCGTACTTGTACTCATATGCACTTCATGAGAAGTTACATGTTTATTAATCCATTCTCGGTGACGTCAAATATCTTATTCAATTCAATTAAATAACAAAATAAAAAAATATTCATTAAATTGTTCGATAATACCCAGCCTTTATATTATAGATTGAATGATTTACATAAAGACACTTTATAAAATGTGATCTTTTTAGCAAATTTACGATACCTTACCAATAACTTATGAGGTATTGAGAAGTTGGGAAAGCCTTTGTAATATTTTAATTTTTATAAGCTATAAATCAGTGAAAAAGTAGTAGCGAGATTCATAGCATAAATCCATGTTGTAAACATTAAATGTACATAGTAGCGGTACATTAGCATTCTAAGCACGGTATTATGATAGATTCATGTATCGGTTAAGCATTATGAAGCTCAATGTGTATCGAGTGCTTCATGTGTATTGAGAATGTACAACGTACTTATATACGCCTGCTTGCAAGTGTAAACGAACGATATTAAGAATTGGCGTTGGTGGTATAAGTATATACAATCGAGGGTAATAATTTAATGTAATAAATGTTTAAAATGTTTTTAAAAGAAATTATTATACAGTGAGATTCGGTGTGACATCTAATCATAACAAGTAGAATAATAGTTAAATTCACTGCTTATCTTACTTTATGAAAATCAATCGATCTATTTTTATTATCCCAGCCCATAGTATAAATATCTCTCAATGCTGATTCGATACTTTTGTATTTGCAACGTTGATTTATAAGAAAAAGAATGTGTACTAGTAAATTATTCTATATGCTAATTATATATATTTTGTTCACATTCTATATTATAATTTTATAACTAATAAACGCCTGATTTATATAATATTTTAATATTATAGAAGTGTAAACAATTTTCATCTTTACCTACCGAATGAATGAAAAAATGTTTATTTGGAGAACAATCGAAAATTTATAAGCAATGATTTTTCTTCATATGTTTATTATGTACAACAACGTCATTGTCTATTTATTTTATTAAGTAGGTATGTATCAATGAAAAGTATTACAGACCTACGTGCAATAAATGAAATAAAATATAGATGTATGGATTAGAAATTGGGAGAAAATGATAAATCAACGAAACCAATTTAAAATGATTATAGTTTGCCAACGTAACAAGGACTTATTTAAAAAATGCGACACACTAAAATTTCATTCCTACTTAATAAAAAATTCGACTCAATTATTCGAGCTTTAATAATTCATTCTGATCAGCAAATTTTTTCTTCATTCATTGAAGAATTTATTGTTGTTCATAAATAATCTGTAAAATTTCATATTCGAAGAGCAAGCACGTTTCGCTCCTCATGTGTACGGGTTACTTAATAATTGCGCCAGACTTACGTCGCGCATCAGCAAATCTCTGTCAGACGTAGAAAGTCCCAGGCCTTGGACACTGCAATCGCCGGCGACGGCCACGACTTTGTGATGAAATTTCGGCATTTCCTCTTTTAGACGTGCGTAAATCTAGAAATGAGATAGTATATGTTTTATTAGATAATTCGATGATACGCCTTGTACTAGGTTCTCCGTTATGAATATCTTCCCATCTCCCGTCCCCTTTCATCCTCATCCTCATCCTCCTCATCCTCCTCCTCCTCCTCCCCCTCCTCATCATCATCATCATCATCATCTTCCTCATCTTCATTCTCACAATCGTGCGATCAATAGTTAGACGAGATGACGCGTTTAATAACAGATCCTAATATATTGAATTTTTTTTTTTCTATGAATTTCATACGAAATATAGAACATATCTTTCAAATTGATACTTTTACTTCACAGTTTTTAAACCATTGAAATGTTTTACGTACACAAACACACGCATTTATATATGCATTGATTTTTTTCAAATTGAATTTCCTTCTATATAAGTATTGCGTATTAAATAATTCGGAGATACTTTGAAATAATTTCACATTGACAATTTGAAGTTCATAAAAAAATTGACAAAATCGTATTTCATATCGTGAAATATCTTTCGCTAAATATTAAGCAGACTTTATATATGAGTTACAAAGTTCGTAAACAAATGACGTTTTTGTAACCATTAAATTCCGAATTAGGAAGTTCGACTAATTGTCGTTAAAACAAAAAATATTTTGATTTTTTTGATGCGTAAGAGTAATTTTATATGTAAAATTAATTAACATCATTTCATACATAGTATGCATATTCAATTATATTTCTTTTACTTGCATATTCTTATGAGAGAAGAATTTATAAATTATGCAAACAATTCAAGTTGAAATATTCAAAGTTATTTACGAAAAATAAAATAACATGTTAAATAACATTTACACATCGATAATGCGTTTTATTTAATATTATATGACAAAGTTTTATAGTTATTGTATATGAAAATAGAAATTTGTCATACTTGAAAAAAAAAGAATATGTCTCACTTCTCCTCCCCCACATGCGTAAATATAAGCGTAATAATAAAATATATGTAATATGAAACATTTTATTGCCAAACCTTTCAAATTTTATAAAGCATCACTAATATATGAAAAATTCTTTCATTAAATTTAATATAACAATATTTTCTATTCATTCCTTAATACGCTTAATTCATTAATCTTTTGTTTTAATAACTCTAGTGATATATAATTTACGCACATGAAAATCTCATTACCGTCATTGATTTTAATAATTATTTAAAAAATTCAAAAATTCCACTGTTTTCAGATTTTCTTCATAAGGTTAGTTTTAATGTTAATATACATAAATTAAAAATGCTAGCAAATGATTCATAAATTACATCTTTAATGCTTCAAGTTGCTTTGGATTCATAAAAAAAAAAATAGTAATCAAAATTATCCTCGGCCAAGAATCTGTTATTCTTTTACTAGGATTATTTACAATGGGCAATTATAGATATTTTCAATTTCAAAGGTAAGCCACTAACTGACCTTCAAATTTCTTTCATGAATATTTCTCTCGCGAAGAATAACGTGATTTAAGAAATACTTTACCACTGCACTTCGCACTTTTAAACACTTACTGGTTCTTTGAATAATTCTTTAATTCTGCTCTCAATGCTCTTTTCCTTTTTTGGACGCACCAGCAGGTAAATACATGCAATATCCGAACAACTTCGCAAAAGCTTCTCTATTAATATCTTTCCGAGAAATCCTGTTCCTCCTGTCAATACAAAATAAACACAATTACTTTGTAAAGAAAGGGAAAAAACTGAGCAAGCAGTCGAATGAATTAATTCTAGACTAGTGTTTTTTATATAATTAAATGTCATATCATTTATTTTGCTATAGTATTTCAATATTAAGTATAATAGAATTTTTACAGTTTCTCATTGTTAGGAATTTAACTTTTAATTTTAAGCATACAGGATAGTTTGTAAAGAGATTAGTAAAAACAATAAAAGAAAAGAGTGCGATATTTTAAATATAGAAATGTAAATGAATGTGTATTAATAAAAGGGCTATTAATGTATAATAGCAAGACAAACATAAACTGCTGTTATTTATGTACTGTTGTATGAGCGTAAGTTTATTAGCTGAAAAGTATAGATTTATGATCTCATTATAGATTATTCGTTATGCAAATCATTTTATATCATATCGTTACATTAAATGTAACGAAATTAGTGTAAATTCTTGTATATATTCTAGTATCACAAAAGCCAAATGTAAATTTCTATACCCAAAAAAATTGTAATTCAAACGAATTCAATTGAATTTTTTACTATACAATATGTAAGACAGGAAATGACATGAATATAAATAAACATTGTTACTTTCAATTATTTATCTATGAATTTTACGATAATAAACAAATATATTGTGAATTATAATTATATTTTATGAAAATATTTTCACAACATTTTCGGAAAAATATTTTAATATTTACTTATGTTCTAAAATCATTCTAACAACACATTTATGTAATAAATGATTTGATCATTTCATATTATGATAAAATTGTACTTTAGATTAAATATTTTAAATATTTTTACATAATTATTTTAAATAAAATATTGATTATTCTCTATTAGTATCCTAAGAATGTATAATAAATAAATGATAACAGCTAATGTTTACAAATAAAATCCAATATTATGATTACAAACATTACCTGTTATAAAAATAGATTGGTGTGCATAAAACTCCTGCAATGGGGTTCTGTTTGTAATTATACATCCGTTTACGTCGAGTGTTTCAGAGATCTCATTGTTGTTGGTTTCATTAGCGATTGATTGCTTCCCGTATTCGCATTCACCCTATTTTGAAGAAAAGAGATATTTGAGTTTCAATGGATTATAATACTCGCAGAACATAAAATAGCGAAAATGCTTCATTAGCTCTAATCTAGTAGTAAACAAAACAATATCATCTTAGTTATATAATAGTATGTAACACTGTGCTTTATAAATAATAATTCAATATTTGTTACAATCGCGTTAAAATTATCCGTTAAAATTTAGAATTTATTGTTTTTGAAATGTAATAATTTTTAATTTTTTATTTTACTACGATGCCTGCTATATATACATATCAAATTTCAGACTAAAGTAATAAACATACTTATTCTAGTATGAATTGTATAAATTCTATAAATTAACAATTTTAATATTTTAACTTTGCGTGATTTCATTGATTAAGGTGTATCTAAAGTTATTGGAAAAAACTCAACGATTAATTCTTAATAGTTTGAGTAATTTATGTAATTAACGTAATTAAACAGAATTCGTTTATTCATCTCAGTGGAATTTATTAATAGATTATTTATTTTATCACTTCATCTTTAAAATGAAGAAATATATCATTGTTATGAGGTAATTTTAGATAAATTATAATTATTTATGTTAATTCAGAAATTAAAATTCATACTACATTCAAAACGTGTATTATTTCGATTATATTTCATATCTTGAAAAAGTATAAAGAATCGCTTATTTTTTATATACAAAAAGGCTCAATCATTTTAATATCTTCAATTGTTTAACATATTATTAATCATATTATGCAGTAAACTTATCGACCGTTTGATAAAGAAGGTGCATGCAAAAAATCTATATTATAAATTAATATTTTAATTGTAATTTTTTCTTTATTGCACAATTTATATTCAGCAATAATTTAATTAGTATTTTAAAATATATTTTGCAATTAAAATTATACAATTGTAAAAAGAAAACATTGCAAATAAATACTAAATTTTGCAAAACTAATATCATGATGATTTTTAAGCGATAAATATAACATATTCTTACTCAATTTTATTTTTTAAGAAAAATAATTATTATTATTTATGATTATTTTTATTATTATTATTATTATTATTATTATTATTTTTTATTATTATGATTATTTTTATTATTATTATTAATTTTTTTTTATTATTATTATGATTACTATTATTAATTATGATTATTTTAATAAATATTTGTAAAATTTTAGAATTTAATTTTGAAAATTAACTTAAGCATATTTCACGCTGCATTTTAATTTATGAAAATGTATACTTTTTCAATCTAATGACAATTATATTTAAAAAGTAGTTAAAAATGGAATATCCTTGCTACTGCTTTAAAGTGAAAAGATAAAGTATTCCTTTCCAATGTCTAAAATCAGTTATTAAATGTATACGTGATATAGATAAACTCCGTTATTATTTTTTAGCTTACATAGATTTAATAGCTCCGCACTCAGACGACACGCGTAAACATAATATATACAAACGTCTCATTCACGTATCTATATTAAAGTAGGCAAAGTAACCGTTACGTTGGCAATTTTCACCAAAGTATTTTAACGTGCGTAAAACGACTTTGCTATTTATTATGTTTATTTTATACAATTTCCAAATAGTTTCATATCACGAGCGGTCAAAGTCATGATTAATCTTATTGTGTTTAGCAATTAATTTCAATGACAATAAGACATTAGTAATACCATGCATTATGCGTCAAACAATAGAATCCAAGTCGTGAACAATTGTATTTCAACGCTTTCAATCGCATCTACGTTCTATAAAATAATTACAATATATGACTTGTAGATATATTTTTAATAAAATTATATATATATTGCATTAATTAATTAATTTAACGCATCTTTTCGAAATTTCATTTTATGGAAAATATCGGAAAATTCGGAGAATAATTTAATAATCACCGACGAGTTGTTAAGAATTTCTAGCCAATATGCACGGCAATGCCGATTAAGATTAAACTTATTAAAACAATATAAGCCATTTAAACGCGATTGGCAATAATAATGCGACAATGGATATTTCTTCTCTGTATTCGTGGACTGCCGATCTTCGCAACTAATAAGTCGAGAAATCCATTTAATGTTATGTAATTAAAACTCCCGATGCCATCAACCCAACCATTATCATATCATTTAACACTTAGTAGTAGAGAAAAAAAGAAAGAAAGAAAGAAAGAAAGAAAATTTTCAATGCAGTTATGATGAAGAAAAAAAATTATAATTTACATTCACCGCTTCAAAATACTTACCATTTGGTCCAAGAATTCTTACTTGTTTTGATAATGATATAAGCGAGCGTGTTCGTAAGCCAAAAATGAATGTGAAATTTTTATGCATATTATCCCGTATGAAGCGTGTAGAGATTATAATAAACTGTATCGGCAGCATGCGTAACAATATTTACATTATGATACATTATAATAAGTGTGCCTACGCTCTTGCGACTTAAATCCATAAATGGAATGCTATGTGGGCTTTATTATGCCGGGATAAATGAAAAAACACAGTGCGCGATGAGAACCCGTTCTTGAAATCTGGATGTCTACTGGCGTAAGCGCAGAGGTCGCTCGCTTTCTAAAGATAGTATTCATGCATTATCAACGATTTTCGACGTGACGAGCGGTGACTCGGGATTTTGCGTCGCGGAAGTGAAGCTGCGGCGACAGCAACAGGTACGAAAAAGAAAGCATAGGAAAATGGGGCGGGTGGGTGGGAGAAACGAAGCGAATGTTTGTGGCCTAAATCGAATATGTCGGTCGGCCGATTAATCGGTGAACTGATTTGTCGAACTATCACGTCCTTCCATTCGTCCGCCTAAAGAGATCCCGCGGGTACCCGTAAGGGAACCAGTTCCTGACATATGGGAATATCTTCGTCGTAGTGTCAAGGACGGTGACTTCGGAGCGCGTGCGCACCACTTTGTCCCTTTTACGAGAGCAGAGTGAGAGCGGAGCACAAGGAGAGTGTTAGAGTGTACGACAGAAACACAGAGATAGATAGATAGATAGATAGATAGATAGAGAGAGAGAGAGAGAGAGAGAGAGAGAGAGAGAGAGAGAGAGAGAGAAAGAATTTACAGTTATGTAAAGTGAGGCGCGCGCTCTTTTGTGTCATGCGAATCGTTGAGACGCGGTGCATTGGCTCGAACGTAACATAACGGACGCATCCGCTCTCGTTCGGTATCCCTCCTAGTCTCTTTCTACTATGAATATATTTCTTCATCTCCCTCTCTCTCTCTACCCCCCCCCCCCCCCCCCTCTCTCTCTCTCTCTCTCTCTCTCTCTCTATATATATATATATATATATATATATCATCTATTGCTTTGTTTCATAGACGATCGCATCTAACCAAGTCCATTTTCTTCTGTACCTTCGAGTCATTAATATCGGTTGATTCGATCGCACGTTCGTAAAAAATAATGCGCAATAAAGCATTAAAACTCAGAGTTATGATCGAGTGGGAATTACCTAAAAGATTTGATAAAAGGAAAAGGAAAAGCACATTTGTTTATCAAAGAAATTAATGGTGCAAAATCTAAAAGCAAGAGGCGAGTTGGACCGACAGATGAAAATATTTACTTACGAAGTTATACGAAAGAAACAGTTATACGAAATGATCTTGTACTTTAAATATCGGGACAGACAGTTTTTGTATTGGAATTTCAAATAAATTCGTGTCATCAGAATTTATTCAAAGTTTTTACTAGTAAAAATTTTCAGCTATCGGAAATACAATTAAAAAATAAAGAAGTAAAATTAATATTTCAATTCCTAATTTCATTTAATTAAAAAATCTTCTTTAACTTTCATGTTTATAGAATGTGTTATTTAAATTTATGAATAATTAAAATCATAACAGTACGGTAAAATGTTCCAATAACACGATGATTTAGAATTATATGCTTTTCTGTAAAGCAAATCTCAGCAATTCAGTTCCTACGTTATTTTCATTTATTTTAAGCGAATTCGTTTCTTAATATAAATTATATACGTACGAAATTCTAAATAACCTAATGTATTTAAAATAATTAAAGCATTAAGTATTAAAAAAAAAAAAAAGTTATTTATTCCGTATGATCGTAATAATTCAAATGCAACGATTCAGTATTTATCAATTGTATTAGGAAATGCATAATAAAAATCTTTATGTATTGTTTACAATCTTTTTATTTATCCGCCCAACTTATATTAATATACTTTTCTTATATAAAGCGAATAAATTTAATTTATCTTATAATCACGTAGCAATTAATAATCGTGGAATTAATATTATAAACGAGTAAATTTATGACTTTATTAAAATAATAAGACACGAATGAATTTGCATAAATTCAAAATTAATATTACTAAAATATATTTTCTTTTAATAATCCGATTGAATGAATTTAGCATTATAAGCAACTTTCTTCCCATCATTTCACCCGTGAGATTTAATAAGTATTTGTTTAAATTACAACGCATTACGACTTTCTTACTTTACCATTCATCTGACGCGTATTTTAATTTCAGTCCGACAGATTCAATTGTGATTTGACATGTTTGACAATGATCCGACAAATTAAATTAAACAGATTAAAAAAAAACAATTAAATTAAATAAAACACCTTGTGAAATAATTGCAATGAAAAAATTACAACTAATACAAAAAATAATTTTTTAATGTTAAACCTGTTATTGGATAAATGTAAAGTACTTATTAAAATTTTCGATACACATGCATTATCGATGAAAAATTACATCTGAATAATAATTTGAATATTTATGCTTAATACCGTTAATAATTAAACAGTCTTTTATGAATTTCTAATGTTATCTGCGACGTCAATTTTTATGATTATCTCGTACGATTTCCGAATGATGGATAGTAACTATATCGTATAATTAATGAGCCAAAGTCTTGTAACGTATATCCAAATATCTTAGAGAATTCACGTAATTATCTTGCATCTCATTTTTATACGCATAAGCGTATGCCATTTTATTAAATATTGCAGAATGTCAGTAATTTGAAGAACCACACATTTCTTGAATAAATATAAACGCTAAAACTTCGGAGAAATATATTGACACATTGCTACCTGTCGGTATCTTGACCTCGCTGCTTATTCACGTATGTCAAAATAAAGAAAATTTAGATTTTTATGTTATCCTCATCGCAATTTTGTCTTTTCCTTATGTAATTTACAAGGAGAAAGTCACAGCTCTGGGAAAATAATTTGGGTCAATAAGGATTTTGGAAACATTTCCTAATACTTTGAAAGTAATTTTTTTAATCGGACATCTAAGGATTATGCTACAATGATAAAAACTCGATATAATCCAATAAAACTTTACGGATATGCGTGGATCGTTATTTTTAGAATACTTAGAAATAAATATTGTTGTGCCTATTTTATTTATTAGTTTTAAAATGATTTGTATGAAAATGATTTGTTTAAAATTATTCGTACAGCTGCCAATGTTTATTGATTTAATGTGTGCCAGGTATTATTGTACCGAATAATCAGCGTTTAAAAATTCAGCATCAATGAGATGATCAAAGTCGATTTTCATTTCCGAATACGAGAAAATAGACACTCTCAAAAGCAGTATCATAATTTATTTCCCAAAGATATTATGCTCAACGATCTAGACGTCAATTAACATATGACAGAACTATAATAATGTCTCTGTAGAGAATTACAATGTAACTGTTTAAGCTAATTAATCTCGTGTTTTATTGTGCCTATATACGCTTCGTATTAATTAGAATATAAAAGTGTACTCTGAACTTTTCGTAAAATCTTATAATTTGATAACGTTAACGAGCACTTAATTTCGTTAGTACATTAAGGCGGTAATTTTAATTTTGTTCAATTTAATGCTTGCTCGTTCGTCTTTTCGCAGTTACATAATTAGAAGCGATTATAAAATATTCAAAAAAAAATTCCAATGTTTATTAGTATTAACAGCAACAATTTATATAGGTCACTCTATATTTTCTAACAATTTTTACTTTATATTAAACTTAAGTATTTATAATTTTGTATGTTTCTTTTTTAATCTATAGTCCGATCCAACTAATGTTTCAGTTTAATTTATTCTATTCGAAATATCGAAAGAGCTTGGTATATTATTGAATATGTGCAAAAATCGTTACTACATACGGTGAGAATATAGTCTCAAGTGAGAATAAAATCTTAAGTTTTCGTGGAAGCAAGGATGGGAATATCGTTAACATGACATAAAAATTTTTAATCATTTCATGTTAAAGCAAATATTAACGAGTCGAATAGAGTTATTGTCGTGTAACAGAATGCCATCGATATTGCCAAGGTAGGAAAACATTTCTAATTAAAATCTCTCCTGTTTTTCCTTATCTGAATATACGTAAGCCAAGTATGGCTCAAAGTCCATCTCAATGTCGTTGCAACGTCCGCCGTAATATTTGTTAGGAGCTTCGTAATATTTTGTAAGAGGATCGTAATCGAACGAACTAATACGCGAAATCTTGTCACGTGTTACGTACGCCGCAAAAGCCGCCAAAGAGATGTACACAGACGCGTAACTCCGAAACGAGTATTGACGACGATGTCGTTATTACATGGGGCTTTTATGTAACCGATCTCCAGCCCCTCCCCTAGTCTCTTTCTTTCTCTCATTCTTTCCCTCGTCTGTAATTAGCCGAACCAGGCCTCTTAATACTCTTGCATTTACCCGTTTCATTTATCTATGTACTGTAATGCGTGCTGTTCTCCATGGATTTTAAAAGACGGCAATTATGCTGAGTACTTGGCTCCCGCCGATTTCTGTCAAATTTCATTCTCATCGACATTATCCACTTAGACTTGCTTTCATTCTCAATTCGACTTGTGCGAAACTTTATTTTTTCGAAGCATGATATAACTCGCACATTTTTTCACTTTGAGCTCTTTAATTCTATATTTGCTGAGTTTACACTTTGCCCGGCCACGCATTATGTACGTGTAAGCATATGTATTATTAAAATGAAAAGACGTTGTAATTTTGACATATTATTTTGAATATAACACATTATTCTTTCGGATTTCAAATACTTACATTCGATTTATCCTAATGTACTATTTAATGTGAGTGAATCTTTTTAATATTCGACTATTTTCTTTTCGTCAATTGAGCAAGAATATTTCAACCACCACCTTCCCATATTCAATATATGTCGAGCCTATTATGACTCTTCTCGTGAAAAACTTACGTGTCCAAAATTCACAATTATCCGAGTTTATGTAACGTGGATACGGAGAAACAAACCTGAATATATGTCTCTGGGATTTCAGAATGCCGGTATTTACGAAATGAATTAGGTTTTGCACAATATGAAAAGAAAAAGAAAATAAAGTTCCTAGATTGTTAACGATAGCTGGCATAAAAGTTAGCCATTCCTTTGGAAATTTAGGTAAGCATATGAAGCCGCTCGCGCGCGCTTTCATTAATTACGATTGACCTACGCGTCGCGGCCAATTTTACGTCCAGCAAAGCTTTTGCCTTAGCACGTAATCAGTAATTTAAGATCCGAGCATCGATTCAAGAGCCTGGCGCGATAATGAAATCGACCGAACCAACGAATCGCTTAGCAAATGATAAATCAGGCCCTATAACCCTCCCCTAACCCCGCGACCCCTCCCTTGCCAAACCAACCACCACCCATCGTGGTCGCTGCACCGGCCCGAGCCCGCAAACTCACGTCTCCGGGAAGCTGGATATCGAGCAGCATGTTGAGCGTTTCCTTGGCGCAGACTCCTTGAAACGAGGTCGGGGGCTGTGATCCGGGCTGTTTGGGCTCAATGGGGCATCGCAGGCCGGGGCTCGCGGTTTCTTGGAGATGCGCCTCTACGCCTGGGACGCTATGCTTTTGCGTGCTTTTGTGGATATTTGTGTGTATGTGTGTATATATGTGTGTGCGTGCGTGCGCGTGCGCGTGTGTGTGTGTGTATGTGTGCGCGCGCGCGCGCCAACGTCTCGACGGGCTTCTGCGTGGCGAGGAGGCTCGCCGAGGACTGAGACCGCTCTAATATAAGTCCGGCCTCGACACCGTATCCCTGCGGCCGGCGCCGGGGCCCCGCCGCCGGCCGCCGTTTCTCGAAGGACTTCTCGGCGGTGAGCCGAATCGTCGCTCTTCCCCCCGGATTGGCTCCTCGCGCCGGCGAGATAAGGCCGTCAGTGGGAAGAGACGAGATAACAGACTTCCGTTCCTATTCCCGTCGAGCGTAAGGGATGGAGAGATCCTGACCGGGTTGAGCGAGCCATGGCGCATTAAATAGTCGAGGAGGAATTTTAGTATTCGCGTCTCGTTGTTGTTCCTCCAAGGATACTTCGTGTCTCTCGTACCTTAAGTCTTATTGCACATTTGCTCGCCTCGTTGCTTGTTTCGACTGACTGTCGATTGGCTTTTACATGCTGAACATTTAAGTGTCATCGATACAGTGGCCTCAGCTATTTTGAAGGGCAAAATTTCATGATAATTATTACTATACAGAAAAATTGGATTAACAGGTCACTATCTACGATTGGGATGAAGTTAGCGCGACAGTTGTGTTGCACACTTATTATACCATAATTAACTGAACTACAATGTTCTATCAATATTTTTCTCCCTTGGATCCTTAATCTATAGACGACCTTATCGCTAAGCTTACATGATTAAAATAAGTCATATAAGTAGAGGAGAAATGCATAAAAGATTAAAATATAATAAATTTTTATACTTGAGATAAATATTAATGCTTATAAATAATAGGTCTTTTATGTTTCCCTTGTAAATATAACTAATTAACTTAAAATGTATAATTTTATTATAATATAACTTGATAATAGTGAAAGTTCGAAATAAAATTACAAAAATATTCCCAGATAATAAAGCACTAATTAATTATTTAATTATAATATGAAGTTTATTTCAACGAAGTTTATACGCTCCCTAGATAGAAAGAAAATTTCTCATACAATTAAGTCTTAATTATTACAAAAAGAAATATTAAAATTTTCGTTTTATTTAAGTTAGCAATAAAATCGTGTAATTGATGTATCTGAAAGATATGTTAATAATCAGTTACGAAATTTAAATTATTCCATATAAGAAATTCCGATATATAAATTCAAATACAATACAATCATTAAGATTAAGAAAATAGCAATATAATTCGAAGCTCAACCACGTTTATATTAAACAGACGTAAAATATTCATATTTCTTTGGGATAATATTAATTATTAAGTATATTAATAAATATGCTATGTAGGGCAATTTTATTGTTTTCTGTTACGTACATAACAGCAAATTCCCAAACATGTAAAATATTTTCAAAAATTATTGAGCATGGAAAATGATAACATTGTATAATAATGTGATAAAACATAATTGATGTGCAGTGATAATATATATATATATATATAGTAGTTGTTTAATTCTCTTAAATCCTCTCTTTTAATATCACATTTTTGCAACTCATCACTAAATCTTTGCAAAATGCCAATGATATTGATTTTTTAAATTTGTCCAAAGTTGAGTCATTTAAGTTAATTTTGTCAGGTTTATTTACTGCTTAAAGGCTTCGGAAATTGTGAATAAACATTAACATTATTGAAAAGCTCTTGACGTCAGCTAAAAAATTTCGCAGCCAAGAGCAGAAGTTCTCATTCTAAAAGACTTATACACCAAACTAATTGTCAATAGAGAATATGACCTAATTATCAATTGGCTGTTGTTATGATTATATGATTATATGATTAATAATATAGTGATCTGATTTCTGATGGACATATATCTTTTAAATATCTAAACTCTATGTTGATCTACGTAGTTATGCACAAATATATGTTAAGTACAAAACTTTTTTATTCCATAATCTATTTTTATTTGCGCAATATTTATTAGTTAATATCCATGCCCCTGAATACTTATATATAATATATTTTGCCACTAAAATTCTCATTTAATAAAACTTCTTTTTTTAAACGAAAGTTGGATTCAAATTATTAGTAGATAATTCTAATTTAACATTATATTAAATTCCAATAATAATATGCTTCACTTCTTAATTTCTCATTCATTCACGTTATTGTCCTGATATTAAAATTATTGTTTAAACACTGTGTCACCAAAAGAATTATATATTTTTTTAGATTATACTCCCTATTCATGCATATGATTAAATAAAGATGCATAAGGATTCTAAACAGGTTTTGACCAATTTTTAATTATTTATTTAGCTTTTACAGTCTAGTCAAAGTAAATTATTTTTCTATTTTATTTAATTGTGATTTTAATATAATATACGTAATAATGTTGAAATCGAAACGAAATTTAAAATTAATTTATCGAGTATTCGTAGTTTATAATTAAAATTTTAATTAATTAACAAATATTTCTTATCCGTTGCTGCTAATTTTGTTTTTTGTGTTTTTTTTTTTTATCAAAAACCAACATTAATTTTCTTATTTCGAAAAACTTCAAACAAGAATTTTCTCTTCATTATCAATATTATTTCAAAATTAATATACAATCGCGTTGAGTAAACAAGATCTCTTATAAATATAAAATTATCAGGAAAATACTGGATTTTAAGCAATTAAAGTTACTAATTAGTAAGTCGAATATGAGTAGCTTATTCGGGCGAAGAACCATTCAACTTTCTAATAATTTATATTATCTTCAAACTTGCTTTCTTCTATTAGACTAATTTAAATAATAAAGTATAATGTATTATTACTTATCTAATGTATTATAAACAAACGGTAAGGTTTTTTTTTAATTAAAAGAGAACTGACGCATTGAAAATAATAAATTATATGCTCATGCGTGCTTCAGTCAAAATAACAGTTTCGCTATAAATACAAGAGTACTTAAAGATAAATTTTTTATAAGAACTAAATAGACATTTAGATAAGAGGATTTAGTTCCAATCAAGTATTTATATAATTTTCACATATTCTTAAGTAATTATTTTTAAAATTATTTTATAAGTCATAATATTGTATAATTTATTACATACAATCAATAACGTAAATTAAAGTTTAAACACAATAATATATAATCAATATTTTTATCAATCTTATCAATATCTAATTTATAAGAATGATGAATATTTTTGTCTTTTAACGATAGACGACGATTCACTATAAGTGATTTATTAGTCGATTGCCAATTCAAAAAAGTGGATTAGAGCCACTTGTGACAAATAGTAGTGCAAACAGATTACAATGTTTTAATATTTATTACATTATTAATTTTAATTACAGAAACTTTATTGAATATTGAATTAAAAATCATAAAAATTATCCAAGAATTTTCTAATTACTTACTACTAATTGAACGTAGTGTTTTATTTCCTAAATATTAATAAAATTATAAAAATATAAATTTCTATTGAATATTCGGAGTAAATATAGGATCAATCCTTATAGATCCTTAGGTCCTGAAGTACTTAAAGATAATTTCCTCTAAATAAGTTAATTCATAATTTCATTCGTTAATTCATTAATAAAATTAATTTTCTTGCCTATGGTAATAGAAATAATAAATAAATTTTTTTAATTATTTCTGTGAGATTCGGTTATTCATAACAATCTGTTTTGTTAATATGAAAGTTTTTATATTTCTTTTTACATTAAAATTTATGATTATATTTATAATAATTTACAAGAGCTAGTTTTAATAAATAAAACTATACGTGTCTGTCAATAATGAAAGATAAAATAATTATATAAAGATCAACAATGCAATCAGGATAAAGTGTTATAGTGTATAAAAAAGAGGTTATATACGTAATAATTAAATGAACAAATAAATAATGCCGGTTATGGTTTATTTATTACTTAATTTATCGTTACATTTCCTTACTAGAAGTATGTGCTACAACTTTTTAAATTTTATTCAAGGAAACGGTTAGGGTTGCTTTATCATAAATAAACAAATAAAATTTATGGGACTAAAAATAGTTTATATCGAATAGCCTATGAATTTAGAATGAAATTTTTTATTAATTTCTGTCGAATTTTGATGACATATTTGTAAAATTTTATGTATTAGTAATAATATAAATGAAAGAAAAACCATTTCATAAAAGAAGATCTTCTCAATATTTACAATAATTTTCTCTTAAAATTTAATAGCAAATAGCAAATAATATTATTTATAATATAAAAATGACATAATTCAATGTAACTAAAAAAAATGGTTCTTTCATGAACATACAATGAAATGAAAATATATTTATGTGTTTATAATTAAATTGAAGGCTTTTTAATTAATTCAATTAAAATAGTATAAAATACAATATTTTAAAACAAATTTCAAATTATTTATAAGCTTTTTTATATTAAATAAAAAATATTTGCAATATTATTTGTAAAAGGAAAAAAAAATAGATGAACATACATATATATATTTTTTTCTTTTACTTTTTAATTTCTAATGACAGAACTTACATTTAGAAATCATTTACCATTGTATCGTATAAATCCTTTATCCAACAATCATTCTACAAGTGATCTATGGTCGTCAATTTTTATTATGAATGAGCCAGGTATTATTAAATCTCAAATATTTACACTATAAAGTCACGATTTTTCATTCAAAACTTGTACTATTTTATCATATCCATGAATACTTTGCAAAAAATTATTGTTCGTGCAGAACGAAAAGTCCACTACTGTTGATTGACTTTGTATGACTTTTTTTTTAGGAAAAGTATAATACTTTTAATTTTCGCATATTTGCAGCCTCCATTACGCTGTTTATTTGATAAGTTTTTAATTTCATTTGATATTCATTAATTCTATATTTAAATTAATATCGAAATTGTCAATTTATTATACATTTAAAACTTGAATATAATATTTATTAGTAATAGATAATATTTAT